GCCCCCAGCCGTGGCCGTGGTGCGGGGGCACCCAGGCTCTCTGCACCTCCTGCGCCGATCTGACAGTTCTTTGCTGGGGGAAAAGAAGGGCGGAAAAGGACACACAGCCTCTGTGCAACAGCTTGTTTGAAAGGATCTGCTGCCGGCATCGCTACGGGAGGGTTATCGCCTCAAGCGCTGCTCTCCACGTGCATTTTCATTTGCGTCCCCAGCTCCTCCCGTAGGCTGAGAGCAGACATCTGCAGGGGGATGGAGAAGTGCTCTAAGCCCCCTCGCTCTCGGTAACTGATTTAACAGTGGGCGACTGCGCTTTAACAGCATGTTACAGCTTCTGGTTTTAAGTTTGCATATGACTAAATTACCAAGCATAAAAAAATAAAATGAAATAAAATAGCAGGGTCCTTAATCTGATGAAAGGAGGCTTAAAACAAAATAAGCGTTAAAAATCAGCACCTGCTCTCCCAGCTGAAATTGCAGGAACATAGAACACATGGTGGAAGTGAAAAGTGTGTTGGATACAGCATAGAGATATTTGTAATGCTGGCTCAGGGGATTGTAATTCTCTCCCGGGGCCATTGTCCAATGTGGCATCTTGCTGGACACCACCTCTAACACAGACCTGCATAAACGAACCTCCCCAGCCTCTGTTAGAAAGCATCCATAGCTGCATCTTCCCCGTGCAGATAAGTGCCAGCAAGGGGGTTTTAAAGTTCACTTCAAAAAAAATTTTTAAAAGGACTGTACCCTTTGGAAGCATTTGGTCTGTGTACGATTTAAAAAGTGAGCATTAAATCAATGCCGTGCTCCCGTGGCATCCCTGAAGGGTTGCTTATTGCAGCCACACTGGTGCCAGAAGAATTCATCATGACTGATGTTGCGGCAGTCTGAATATTAAAAGAAAATCAGTGATTTGCCATTTACTGTATTAGGAGGCATTGCTCTTATGCTTTGGGAGGATGACCCATCAATAATGCTGCACTACAGTGGGATTCCTGCGGAATTACATGGTTCCAAGTATCGGCCTTTTCACAAAATGGTTCATCATGATTAATGGTATTATTACCTAAACAGAGAAACTAATTAATTCAGCCTTATTCCTTTAAGCCACCCCAGCTGAGCCTTCTTCTGCTAAAAAGAGCTGCTACAGAAGGACTTCCTGGGTTTTATGCATTTCTACCACTGTTGAGCTTTCATTTTGTGCAGTTTTTACCATTTTTATTCTCCTTTCAGCCGTCTCCCTAGAGACTTCTCTCAGTCCCCAACAAAGGGTGGGATTTAGCAAACAAATGTCAGTGGGTGGGAGGAAGAGGATGGGATGTGTAAGGCTCACTGCTTGCCTCAGGCAGACAATTTTTAAAAAGATGCTCAGGAAGGCATTGGGGGGAAGACCAGCTCTTGCACTTGTGTTACCTTTTGTCCAAAATGTGATGGCATGGGCCACTGCAGCTCAGTGGAATGAGATGTGGTGTGCACCCTCCTCAGTTAACAGTCTCGGGCTGGTCAATAAAATGGGTAAATAACCAGGAGCGTGTGGAGTGCAGGAAAAAGCCAATCTGTAAAGCTGTAATGAATCTTCAGATTACTTGTCAAAAATATTAACTGTTTTTTGACAAAAGGATCTAGTATTTACCTAAAAAGCAAGCTTTATTGCCTAAAATAAGCATATGGGAATTGTCCATTCCAGCCTTTATAGATGCCATAAATATTTAGTGGGAGGTACTGGTGACCCCAAGTTTCAGAAATAAAGGGTTGATGCAGGGGAACCCCAAGACTCTGCAGCAGCGGGAGCTGCCGCTGTCAGATCTGCAACGCCAACATCACCTGGGTCCAGAGGAGGGAAAGCACAAGAAGCCAACTAGACAGAAATGCAATTTCCTGAGAGATTAGACAAGAGCAAGAAACACCAGCCTTGCTTCAGGCAGGCTGGCAGGAGCCAGAACGAGAGGAGAGGCAAATCAGCAGTGCGCAGCTCGGGCTCGAGTCGAGAAGCCCTCGACGGTGGGGAAAACAGGGTTTGTGTTTGCTTTGGCTCATATGGAGCAAAAAAAAGGAAACCTTTCCTTTACCTCCTTCAGGAAATTCCTTTTTGCCAAAGTCTTAGGAAAATAGTTGTGTTGCAGTTCTGGGTGGCATTTTGGTAATGGTCTTGTGAGAGACCGAACTGGCATTGCCCGTCCCTGGAACCTGGGCTTCCCCCATCGGGGCGGCTGGGTCTTCCCCGCACACCCCTGACAGAGCTTTCACCAGTGCTCCTTGTGTCCCCTCACACAGGCAGGGTGCTTTGGGAAGAGGCTAACCAAGGAAATGGAAGTACCTGGAGGGGTTCGAGGCCAGGCTGGATGAGGCTTTGGGCAACCTGGGCTAGTGGGAGGTGTCCCTGCCCATGGCAGGGGGGTGGAACTAGACGATCTTTAAGGTCCCTTCCAATCCAAACCATTCTGTGATTCTGTGATTCTATGAAATAAGGAGAAACGGGGCTTTGGCACACAGATTTAGCACTTTCACTCAAATCCTGGGTAGCTGGTAGCCAAGGGCTTGGCTCAGAAACACGAACTTTAGGGAAGAGTGCGGTGGGTTGCGGCTCAGCCTCAAACACAGCATCACTGCGGGCGCAGCCCCCTCGTGTCCACCCACGCCCAGCACGATGGCATCCCCCCCCGAGGCTGCAGCTCTTTCATACCACCGAGATCGATATTTTGCCAGGAAAACGCCTTTCCCAGCAGGGCACTGTGTTACGTGAAACCAAATAAAAAGCAGGGAGCAGGGGAGAGCTGCAGCGGACCATAGTAACAGGCTGCCATTTCTGAACATAAGGGGGAAAAGACAAATCAAATGGTGTTTTGAAGTTTAACTTGGAAAATATTTTTCCAAGTCCTTTGAGGGATGTGTGTGTGAAGGGACGGGGTGGTCTCTGCTCGCCCCTGGCCCTGCCGCCGCGGCACAGCTGGAGTCCCCAGGGCAGCAGCGGGGACCTCCTTGCAGGTGTCACACAGCAATTTCTTTGTCTTCTCACAAAAACCTTCTGCTCCATTAAGCTTCCCTAATTGCTGCATTTATCATCAGCCATTTTCTGCTTGTTCTCTTCCTCATTCAGCGAGGATGTGTCAAAATACAGATATACGCGGCCGCCCCTCGCCGATGGAGCTGTTGGCAGGCTCCGGCTGCTCAGTTGGCTGTCCAGCAGAAGGTCCCTTGTCACCGACTCGAAGGTGACTTGTGTGTCACACAGATCAGCCGCCAGGCCACGCTGGCTGGGTGTCAGGGCCTT